ATTGACTTGCAATTCGTCTCCGATGCAGGTGAAGCAGCCCGGACTGGAGATGTCAACTGTGCAAAGTGAGCTAGACTTGTCGTACGGGCAACGCTATCAAGGTGTTACGATCCCGGAGGCTTATGAACGTCTTATTCTCGACACGTATGATCCTTTCCCTTGCTCCGATCCTTGAAATATTAATGTCTGCAATGCATACTATTAAGGCTAGTCGGTCCGGTTATGCGGATCAGAACTATGATAACTAGTTTCGCTTTTGGTCATGTAGGATAAGAGGTGATCAGCAGCATTTTGTTCGTAGAGACGAGTTGAAGGTAAGAATTCGTATTTACTCAAGAAGACGATAACTCATAGGGGATTCGAACTAATGTTCGTGTTGCTTCATACATCAGGCGGCATGGGAGATTTTCACGCCTCTTCTACATAGAATCGATAACGGTGAAATGAAGCCAATTCCGTACCGACCAGGTAGCCGCGGACCGGAAGAAGCAGACGAGCTTTTGGCTAAAGCCGGTTACGTTCAAACACATGGATACATCTGGGTTCCTCCCACCTTGTAGAATCTTGCGGCAGTCCGTCATGGTCGCCATGTAAGTCGAGTTTTCGTTAAAGGCCTGCGTGTAACACATCGAATAACCAGGCCTGCCGGTTATAGCTAGTTAAGGTAAGTCCGAGAGCTTGTATTTGGAAAGTTTGTTGTGGTTACGTTTTCGATTTCGACTTCGGTTTCGGTTTCGGTGTTTTCGATTTCGACTTCGGTTTCGGATTTTTCGATTGGCATGAATCGGGTTGGCTTGATCGTGGAATAAAATCGGTATATGAACCATCTTCTTTACATTTATTTATATACACTGTTTCATTCACCCTCCTGTGATCAAAATCATGACATAAGTACTAAATCGATGTCTCTTGTTATATAGGACCTAACCTTTTAAAATGATCAAATAAAGGCCAACTATTTTTAAATTTACTCAAATAAAGGTTTAAACTTTCAAAAAAGTCGAATAAGGGTCTAATGTTTTGGAGTCTAATCAAACAAGGATTAAATGAGTTTTTATCTGAAATCGTTTTAAAAAAGTTTGACCTTTATTTAAGCAAATTCGAAAATGTTATGCACTTATTTGACGGTTTTAAAAGGTTGTACTTTTATTTGAGCATATATGAAATATTAAGTCCTTATTTGAGCATTTAGCCAAAAATAGAAAATCAATTTTGAATTTCATTTTCCTCTAATTTTAAAATTGGAAATTAAATTTTGTATTTTATATTTATCTTTGGTTTTTTAGGATAAAGTACACAAATGATCTTCCGACTATAAGGTATTGCTTTATTATTAATCTTCTCGGCTATTAAAAGTTACAAAATGTTCATCCGACTATAAAGTGTTGCTTTGTTGAGTCAAATAAGTCAAATTCAAATCAAATAAGTCAAAGCTTGGATAATTGTACAATCCTCAAATTATGGGAAAATTCTATCGTTCGACACTCTTAATATAAGTTTAAGGTAAGGCGTTATCGGTTTTGTTATTATTTTTTTAACAAAACCGGTAAAAATTATCTAAAACATTATTATTTTTACCTAAAACATTAATGTTTTTACCTAAAACATTAATTTTTTTAACATTTCCGGTAAAGTGCCCAATAATAACAAAACCGTTACTGCTTTACCGGATATGTTAACAAAACCGGTAAAACGCCTAATAATAACAAACCCAGTAGAAATAATAATGTTTCCGATAATTTTTTCCGATTTTGTTAAAAAAAATAATAATAAAACCCGTAGCGCCTTACCTTAACCTTATATTAAGGGTGTCACACGTGAGACTTTCCTCAAGTTATGATAAGAATAGAATTAAATTATAATATATATTATTGAATTTGATCTTCTTTTTAAATAAATTATAAAATATAAATTTAATTATTAATAATTTAAATTATTAAATCATTCTAATGATAACTTTTTATTTTCTTGCACTAAACTTTTAGGAAAATTGTTTTTTTAATTGTGTAAGAATGAAATCATTACCAGTTTTATTATGGTTTCGTGGGGAAATTCTAGAATGCATGCCGATTCACCACTAATTTTATAGGGTAAAATCTACATATGGTCATTAAACTATATCAAAATTATCCTTTTGAACATTTAACTTTTAAAAGTTACATAATGAATATTAAATTTTAATTTTATTATAGAGAAAATAACTTCAGTGACCAAAAATCCCAGATAATATACGATTTTGACCAACTTTTATTGGATTTGCGAAAATGACCAACAAAATCGCAATGCGATCTCTAATTCGCATTGCAATCTCCACTATCGCAAATTCGCGTTGCATTTCGCGTTGCGATAGTTGGAAATCGCGTTGCGATTTTCCATTTCGCGTTGCGATAGTTGAAAATCGCGTTGCGATTTTTCATTTCGCGTTGCGATTTTCCATTTCGCATTGCTATAGTTGAAAATCTTCCATTTCGCGTTGCGATAGTTGAAAATCGCGTTGCGATTTTCCATTTCGCATTGCGATAGTCTACAATGTCGTTGCGATTTTCCAAATTCGTTGCGATAGTCTACAGTTGTCGTTGCGAAAGTTAAAAAAAAAGATTTTGTTTCTTAAGAATTTTTTCTAAAAAGATAGTATCCGCACGGACGTGTCGAAGACACGTATTACCACGACCACGACCACGACCCGACCCGACCCGAGACGAGACGGACGGACTGCGGCGGCGGCGCGCGAGAGTCCCTCTTGTTCTCTATCACTCAACAAAGAAGTGGGAAAGCCAAGCCTTAAATACCATTCCCAATAGTGTTTCCAATACTATGTGGGATTTGAGTATTACCAACACTTGTTCCCAATACTATGTGGGATTGAGCCTTAAATAGTGATATTATTTTTGAATGTTTTGCTTAAAATTGCAATAATCGCGATTGATTGTAGATTGACTTTTAATTATGACATATTTAATCGTATAATACTAATGCAATTGGTTGCTGATTCAGTTGTTTTAAGGTGCATGATTGTTAATTGTTTCCTGAATAATCACATTGTATTGGAAACAAGTGTTGGTAATACTCAATCCCACATAGTATTGGAAACACTATTGAGAATGGTATTTAAGGCTTGGCTTTCCCACTTCCTTGTTGAGTGATAGAGAACAAGGGGGACTCTCGCGAGCCGTCGCCGCCGTCTCGTCTCGTCTCGGGTCGTGTCGTGGTCGTGGTCGTGGTCGTGGTCATACGTGTCTTCGACACGTCCGCGCGGATACTATCTTTTTAGAGAAAATTCTTAAGAAACAAAATCTTTTTTTTTAACTATCACAACGAATTTTCGCAACGAATTTGGAAAATCGCAACGACAACTGTAGACTACCGCAACACGATTTTCAACTATCGCAACGCGATTTTCAACTATCGCAACACGAACTGGAAAATCGCAACGCGAAATGAAAAATCGCAACGCGATTTTCTGGAAAATCGCAACGACAATTGTAGACTATCGCAACGAATTTGGAAAATCGCAACGACAACTGTAGACTATCGCAACGCGATTTTCAATTATCGCAACGCGAAATGCAACGCGAATTTGCGATAGTGGAGATCGCAATGCGAATTAGAGATCGCATTGCGATTTTGTTGGTCATTTTCGCAAATCCAAAAAAAGTTGATCAAAATCGTATATTATCCGAGATTTTTGGTCACTGAAATGATTTTCTCTTTATTATAAAATAGACACAAAATCATTAAGAAATATCTCATTTGACCCTTCAATTATAATTAAAATCTAATTTTACTTTTAATTTTAATTTAATTAATTCTGAGTAGGTTCGTAGAATTAAAAAAATAGATATAGATTAAATACATATCATCTTTAAATTTTATATTATAAATATTAAATTTGTACCATATAAATTAAAAATTATTTGATATGATATTATAAAATTATGGATGTATAGTTTTTAAATTACATTTAAATTTATTAAATAAAATTTAAATGCTTAAATCACATCATTAATAAAAAATAATTTTATTATTTCATTGTTTGATAATTGAATTTTTTGAAAAATATTTTTTAATTTCAAAAAAAATTATTTTCATATATTTTAAAAAAATCTAAAATTTCTAATTTTTTAGAATTACTATTTAAAAATGTTGAAAAATATTAAAATGAAATTTTGGTTATAATTGAGGGCCTAAATAAAATTATTTTTCATTAATTTAGTATGTTATTGACCCCTTAATAACATTTAAAGATTGTTATTTATTTTTTTAACGAAGTTCAAATTTTAATGTCTATTTTGTAATTTTTAAAATTTCAATGATAAATAAAATCAATTTAAAATGTTTTGTGACTATTTATAAATTTTACCCTATTTATTTTAGCGATGCATTTCAATAAATGTCACTCATTGTAGTCTTATTCCGCTTTCATCTTTATAAAATAAGAATATTGATTTATCTTTTTTCGTTAAAACGATTAAACATATTAATATATAACATTTAATTGAATTAAACATATATAATTTATGAAAAGTTAAATATAAATTAAATGATTTATAATATGGATTATTTGTAATAATAATTTGTTTTAAAAGGTCTTAAAAATTAAATCCTGACTTTCTAAAAAAAATTCAAGAGCTTAAAAAATAGAATATTTTTAAAAGGTGACTAGTTAAATTTTCAGTACCTTTAAAAATAAATTAATTTTTTTAGAATATCACGAGTTCGATTTTTAGGACTTTTAAAAAATCAATAAAGTTGACATCACATTAATAGAAGGATCAAAATGGAATGATACTGATAATTGTAGGACTGATATAGAATTTTTTAAATTTTATTGATCAATTTAGAATGAATGTCATAGTTTGAGGATTGATATATCATGTTTAAAAAGTTTGGAACTAATTCAGAATGTGAGTCATATTTTAGGGACCTGATGTGAAGTTAACTCATACAATTAAGATGAAAATTCTCTTTGAAATTGAGTTGGCCTTATTTAAGAACAGTACTCTCCCCTTCATTTGTTGTTGCCGCCATTGTTAAGCTCTCTGTTTATCTTCAAAGATTTCATTTGTTTTCAACAAGAACACGAATCCATGGAGAACGGAGAAATCCCAGAAAACGCTAATGAACGTATGCTTCTCCCCCTTTTTTTTAGTCAAAATTTTGAGGATTTTTTTGGTCGATTTATTAATCTTCTTGATTTCTGTTCAGATTGTCCGGGTCCTCAATCGGATTCCGCTGGTAAATCCGATGCATGCGAAGGTTGCCCTAATCAAGAAGCTTGTGCCACCGCCCCCAAGGGCCCTGACCCAGGTTTCTTCTTCCCCATATCTTCATTATATTTTTTGGGTTTAGTTTTTTTATTTTCTATTTCATTAAGTATTACTTTCATGGTGATTTTGTGAACTGTTTTTTGACGGCTAGAATTAAAATTTTAGGTTTCTTTGGCCTTTGAAGCTTTACTCGTGAAGCTAGCTGCGCTTAATATTAATGGGGATGTAATTTTCATGTTTTGAATGATACGTTAGCTCAGGGTGAGCAAAACTCGACTTGACATGAAAAACTGATCTTTTAAACTTGAATCGTCTCTAAAAAACTAACTCCGATTAATTTTGAATCGCAATTTCATAAACTTAACTTGGTTAAGAAAAAATTTAAATTCAAGTCGAGATATAAAATAGAACTCGGATAATAACTTGAATTAGTGAATTGATTTTTAAGTAGGGGTCTAGTCTCTCGTCTCCGTATGATATACAGTGGCAGATGCAAGGTTTGTCTAGGGTGGGCACAAATTTCTTTGTATTAGTTGTTCCTTTTACTATTTGTGTTCACCCTGAAATTTTATTTCTGCCTTCCCATTCGAAAAATTTCTATTATTAATATATATGTGTCTATTTTAAAATATATTTCTGGATCCGTCATTGATGATATGTGTATATCATATATTAAAAATATGAATAAATATATATATTTATTGTATATGGTTATAGAAAATTGTTTAAATTATAATCAAATAGTACCATAATAATATAAATGTTTACGATTAAATTTAAACATAAACTCGAAAACTCGACTAAAAAAATTTCAAATTCAAGTCAAGTTATAAAATATGACTTGTCAACTTGAATAACTCGAAATTTTTTGACTCTTGAACTCTCACCCCTAAGGTAATGCCTCAAAAGTTCTAGTATTTTATGTTAAGGAAGCTTACTCATGATGCGGGTTGAATAGAATGGTACCTTAACCGGACTTTTGAGTAGGAAGCTGAAACTTCTAGCAGATGGTTTTGAATATTGAGTCGTTGAAGTTGTTATGCTATGATTGTAGTTCAATGGTTCCCTAGTATAGAGTTGCGGAGGGTTTTGAATTTTGACTCGGGTTATTACCCTTTAACTGTCCGGTGTTTTGGTTGTCCTTGTAATTTCTTATTATTTTTAGTGCTTGTTTTAAATTTTGATAATGATCTTTATGAAAATGATCTTTCTCAATTGCTTTGTCTAAAATTTATCTGTGTTAATGATGCATTTTGATTAGTTGAGTTAGATTTTACCTCATATCTTAATGAGTAAAATTGTTTGTGGTGAACATATCTGGCATAAATGAGAAGTGATGAATACTTTTGGGCCATGTAATATGCCTCTCTCCATTTTGGTTTTAATGTTGCTTTTTTCTTTTCCATGTGTTCAAATTTATATATGGCATATTTTGGGTTGATTATATTCGTATGTTTAAACGCACATTCATTCGGCTTGACCGTGTTATCCGGCATATGAGTCTATTATCTGACATAGTAATTATTCAATCCGTTGCATTCTGCAGATTTGGTTGCAATTGCAGAGAGAATGGCTACTGTTAAGCATAAGATACTAGTTTTGTCGGGGAAGGGTGGAGTTGGCAAAAGCACTTTCTCTGCCCAACTCTCATTTGCACTAGCAGCTAAGGATTTCCAGGTGGGTCTACTGGACATTGATATTTGCGGCCCAAGTATTCCAAAAATGCTTGGCTTAGAAGGTCAAGACATTCACCAGAGCAACCTTGGCTGGTCTCCAGTTTATGTTGAGTCCAACCTTGGGGTAATGTCGATTGGATTCATGCTTCCCGATCCTGACGAGGCTGTCATTTGGAGAGGACCGCGTAAAAACGGGCTCATCAAACAATTCCTCAAAGATGTATACTGGGGCGAGCTCGATTTTCTGGTTGTTGATGCCCCTCCCGGGACCTCTGATGAGCACATCTCAATTGTTCAGTTCCTACAGGCTACCGGAATAGATGGAGCAATCATCGTCACTACGCCACAGCAAGTCTCTTTGATTGATGTGCGTAAAGAAGTTAGTTTCTGCAAAAAAGTCGGAGTACCCGTTCTTGGTGTTGTCGAGAACATGAGTGGTTTGTGTCAGCCATTGAAAGATTTCAGGTTTTTGAAGGCGACAGAGAACGGTAAACATACCGATCTCACGGAGAAGGTCATTGAGTATTTGAGGGAGAAAGCACCTGAAATGCTAGATCTCGTCGCTGCCACTGAAGTCTTTGATAGCAGCGGTGGTGGTGCAGCAAAAATGTGTACAGAAATGGGAGTACCATTCCTGGGAAAGGTGCCATTGGATCCACAGCTTTGCAAGGCAGCTGAAGAAGGCAAATCTTGTTTTGCTGAAATGAAGTGTCTTACTAGTGCTGCTGCATTGAAGAATATTGTTGAGAAACTGATGACAAATTATTGGCTTGAAGAAATGCATGTGGAACAGTAGCCTAGGGTGAACTGATGTTCAGCTTTACTTGGATATCTGTGTTACAGAGATTTGTTTGCATGTTATGTAATCTTATAATTATGCCCAAGTTTTAGGAATTTTCTGTGTGGTACAATACTTGAGTTATAGAAGTTCAATACCCTCTGTTTCTGAACACTGAAAACTTACAAATCAGGACTGTAATCTTTTTGTTAATTGTGATTTTATTTTTCGAAATGTATGCTCAACTCCTCTATTATACTGTTGAATCAGGAGGGACTGGGGGTTGACATGTTAACATGCATCAATCCCCAACTGTCCTTATGGAGAGTTGGATTGATGTCGATGACCTTTGCAGATGCTTTGAGGAGTCTTGTGTAAACGGTTACATGCTCTTATTCGACATGAAATTCTTCATCATTCGGCTTACAGCAGGTTATCAGTCAACAGATAACCTCTGCTACAGCTTGTGAAGTTCATCTGGGGCATGAAGAGGACCCCTGGAGAGGGATGCTTCCTGTTTTTAATCCAAGTAAGAATTTCTAGGATTTCTTCTCTCCTTTTCACTTTTCTTTTTGGAACTTGATCAGAATTTCAAATTGTGGTTGTAGTCAGTTTTTTGTTGCTATGCTTCATTTCCTGGTTTTATAATGTGGTTGTGGACTGTTTTTACTTGCTTTTGTTAAAGCTATTTTTCTTATCAAGATGAACATCTGATTCATGTCATGATTCTAAGATCAACTCAGCTTATATAACAAATATTATTACATAGTATTTAATCGAGTTGAGCTCAAATAGTAACAAATTCAAACTATAACTCGATTTTGAGCTCAGAGTTCAATTTTGATCATCATTTTCTATGATTGAGTTTAGTTCAAGATGTAATCAAACTACTTTTGATCATTTGTATGGTTGAGCTTTATTAGGCTTGCAAACTGCTTGAATCGGGTATCACGGCATTTGATCCGACTCGTCCAAGCTGCTCGAGACCTAACTCCACTCAATAATTATCGAATCAATCGAAATTCCTTCAGGTATCAACTAGTTAACACCAATAATGATTCAACTAATTCCTCTGAAGAATTCTATTAGCAATAAGAAACCAAGCACACGTGTAGGATTAAGGAGTAGCTGGATTTACTTAGGATCTAACTCTAATATCCATATGTTCCCCAACTGAACATCCAAAAACCAGACATGTTCCTCAAAAACTTTATTTATACTTGGACACAAGACGCTTTAGAACATCAGAAAGTACCCATCGACGATGCAAGAGATATTCCGAATTCACAACCAATTGAGCCTCCTTCCATGTCATAAGTTCCTGCAACAACATGAAGGCAAAACAAAAGCAGAACCAGTGAACCAGCGGTAAAAAAACCGTAGTCGATCTATCAGCGTAAGGCCCGAATCATGAAATGAAGTATCAGACATACAGCCTTCCATGAGGGTACGTACCATAATCACGTGAGCCTACATCAATTTTAGGAGGGCAGATGACTGCAGGCATTCATACTTCTATGCTACTAGGATTCACTCGAGGAAAAGCACATGACATTCGTCGGTTATTAGGGTATCAAACAGAATATTCAGGTATCGTAGTTGGTTAACACAGGAGATTATCGAGTAAAGATTATAAGAAAAGAAGTAATGATCACAGTAAATGACATGCAAAATATATAGGAATTGCAGGAGGAACTTACCATCATGGCCTAGACGGATTCATAGCGAGAAGCATGTTTTGCCCACAGGGAATGTATGCCACATTAGGTGTCCTAGCAAGAGTAGCAGCGATTTCCCTCGATGCCTCTATCCTCCTCAGCTCGATCAGCCCCATACCAGCAGTCGGGGTGGCTTCAGAAATCAACTTCGCAGCCTAACTTTCACCTTCTGCTCGGATAACAGCGGTGCGCTTCTCCTGTTCAGCTTTTGTCACAACGTACCTCGACCGCTCCGCCTCCTGTTGTGCCACCTGCTTCTGCTCCACCGCTCTCGAGAATTCAGCACCATAAGACAAGTGCGTAATCCCCACATCGGCTAGCTCGATGTTAAAGTCTCTGGCGCGCTGTGTTAGTGAATTCCGGACCAATGCCGACACTTGGGGGCGTTCGGTGAGAAGCTGATCGGCATTGAACTGTGCGACCACAGCTTCAGGACCTCGTTTCCAATGGAGGGAAGAACCTTCTCATCGTACTCGAGACCGAGGCGTTGATAGATTTCAGGAAGCTTATCCACCTTTTTTCACAAACAAACACCAACGATTAAACGCTAATCTTTGAAGAACAAAACCAAACCCCTAACATTCATCATACATACATACATACATACATACAAACCATACATACATTCATCAGGCATACATACATACATAATCAGGCATACATACATACATACATACATACATACATACATACATGCATACATATCATTTCATAAATTCATCCAAAAATGACATTTGAAATCAAAATTTAGTTGTTCTTATATGAAAAAGAAAACCCATTTACCTTGGGTTTAGAAAGGACACGAAGAGTAAGGTTAACCATCTGGAGATCCTTAGTTCCAGAAATGGAGGAGAACGTGTGAGGCTTCATACGAATATCATAGATGAAGGGCTTTCGAAGCCATGGAACCAAAAAGTGAGTCCCTTCCTCCGCCGTTTTATCCAACACTCCCCTCAAACGATCAAAGATCACAGCTCTTTCGCCGCCGTCCACCGTGTACATTGAGGCGTTGAGGACGGTCGCGGCGGCTCCGAGCCCAAAGGCGGCGCGTGCGACGTTGGTTAAGAAAGAAACCGCCGCTTGACTGCTTCCCATTTCCTTGGAGCTCCTTGTTTGATTAATTTTGTTTTCACTAACGAGGGTATTTGATTTCTTTTGGGAGAATGAGGGTTTTTAGTTCAAGGGTTTATGTAAAGTTTTATCTTTATTTTTAAGGGTTAACTACATATATGGTAATTTATCCTTGTGTTTTGTCCACTTTTTGTCACTGATTTCAAAAATTATAAGATATAATCACTTTTGTTTTTATTTAATTAAGAAATAGTCATTTATAATTTTATTTAATTAAGATGTGGTCATCCCGAGTTAATTTTCGTTAACAACAATTAAATATTTTTTATATAATCACACATTTGGTCTCTGTTATTTACATATTCTATCAATTTAGTCATACTTTTAATAAATTAAAATAAATTTAATCTTCGAATTGAACGATATCACAAGTCATGCCAGTAAGATTGTAAAAAAATACCCGACCCGATTGAGCTGACCCGTCAACCTGTTGACCCATTTAAAAAATATCAGGTTTTTATAATAAAAATATCGATTTTTCGGGTCGGATACCCAGTAGGGTTTTTGGGTCGAACATGGTCACAAAATGTTAGTTAAGCAGGTACCCTCCGACCTAGTATATGTGACTATAAGATAATATCTATTTAAAGATTTTTAAGCCTTTGATAATGATTGCTCATATCCTTGTATACGTGACTCAAATATGAGACTTTAAAAAGTAACAAAAAAATACCTTAACCACTAAGGTCGTTTAGTTTGTACATCAAATTATATTTTTTTTTATTAAGCTAAGGTGATTACAAAGTATTATATGTTCTAAATATACTCTCAACCATTTGACAATGAACACTCAATCACCCTGCTGCAGCCCCTGATGCTCCAACCCGTGACCTTTAAAAACAATAATAATTCCTTTAACCACTAAGTTAAGTTGATTTGTACTGTAACATCCTCAATACCGGGTTAGTGACTAAATTGTAAAGTCTCATAATTTGGTGATTAAAATTGAATGATTGAATAGTATAAAGATTTATTTGTAAATTATTGTATGGATTTAAATTGAAAGGAAGAAGGAATATAAGGGCAAAGAGGTCATTTCTAAGGGAATAAGAAAAGAAGGGTTATATATGTATCCACGTGGGTTGAAGAGGGGAGAACACAAAGACTTCCAGAGTTCTTTTCTTCTTCTTTCTTCCTTGTACGTGTAAAGCAAAACAAAGGTGAGTTTTCTGATTTTTGAGTTTCTTGTTAAATTTAAGATTGGGTTTTGATTATTAGATGATAACTAAGCTTAAGGAAAGCTTAGGTTATCTTAAAATCAAAGGATGATGGAGTTAGAATAGATTAAAGATTAGAGGTTCTTGAATGAAATCTTGGAATAGAGTTCACATCTAGAATTGGAAGTTAAATTTGACTTGTCATCAATCTAGTTAAGACATATTAAGGGTTAGAAGTGGAATTAAATCATGTTGCAAAGTTGGTATAATTCTTGGATTTCACAAGGATGATAGAATTCTGAGGTTTAAGATGAAATAAATGAGTATAGATTGGTTTAAGTATGTGTACTGGAGTTAAGAATATAAAAGGGGATGAAACATGAAAGATTTAAGCTAAAATGGATAAGTTTTCGGGTTCAAGAAATGAATTCTGGGCAGAGTGCATCGGTGCACATTCAACGTGTACCGATGCATCAAGAGAAAATCCCAGAATTTGTTGTAGGTGCATCGATGCACATGGAGTGTATCGATGCACTCATTTAAAATAAATGAACATCGAATGCCATTAGTGCATCGATACACCTGCTTAAAATACAAACATCGAATAGGATTTATGCACCGATGCATGGGTAGTGCATCGATGCACCCGTCAAGGGATGCGTCGATACATGGTGTAGTACATCGATGCATACCTTCAGTAAGAGATGGAAATAGCTTTCTTTTAGCCTAAGGATTAATAGTTTGGAATATATCAATTCGTATGCTGATAAGTATCAATGTATTACTATGTAGATTTAGAGTGTAATCTTATTCCAGAACAATCGAAGGATTAGAATCGAATCAAAGCTAGGCTAAGGTGAGTGCATTTTATAGTTAAAGTGTATAGAGACAAGACTTGTGATAAGTCTATCTCTGATAGTTGAATTAATGATTTCATACCCATGTATATGCATACATATACTATTGTAATAGTGATTGCATGCATAATTCATTATATGTTCATATGACATTGAATGAACGAATATCATTGCCAGAGAATATAATCCAGGTATGTGAAATAATGGAAAAGATTATGTGTTTATATGAAAAGTGATGAAAGAGATATGAAATGAGAAATGTATTCATATTAAAGCCCATGTTATATGATACGAGAGCTATAGGTATAGTTGGCATGTCAAGAGTCGAGGGTATATTAGTCCTTTGGGACGTATCCAGTGGTCCTTCGGGACGTATCCAGTGGTCCTTCCGGACATAATGGTCCTTCGAGACAAATACTGAACAAATGTTCAGTGCCCCATGAGGGAATTTATTGAGCTGTGGTGACAGCATTAGTGCACAACCTCAATGTACTCAAATACCTCTGTTCTCAATAATGTACATGGGAAATTGAAAGATAAATTAAGGTGAAAGTGATACAA